ATAACCCTGAGGCACAACCTTTCTTGATTTTAAACCATACTCCTTCTTCTATTCAAATGACTCTTTTCTTGGTTCGTGTACAGGTTATACAAGAACACAATGAAATGAAATGAATTCTGAAATTTTCACTTTTTCTTAATGATAGCCATAATTATGATACACATAGTCAAATACTTTTGTATAGTTAATAAAACACAAACACCTTATTCTGTTCTTTCAGTCAACATCTATGACAGCAGCAACGATGCCCCTTGTTCCACATCTTCTAAATCCAGCTTGAATTTTTGGCATCTCCCCGTTGATATAGAACCATTCTCAATATTCTTCAGTGAAATTGTACTTACAGAGGTAAAAAGCTGCACTGCAATCCCAAAGGGATGTGGTTTGAATCTACCAGCTGCTCCATGTGAGAAAGATGGGTAATCTCCTCTCTTGCAAGTAAGGCCTCTGAAAACCTGCTGGAGGGTCAGTTCCGACTCAATGGTACACAACAAGGTCAAAAGAGAGGCATCTGACCAAGGTCCAATGGTCAAATTGGTACTGTTTCATAATCCCCACATGCTGTTGGCTCAACTTTTAAAAATTTTTTTAATAGGCACAAATATGCTCTTCCGGTTAGCTGGCCAATAGTGGTCTTCTAAATTTCTCAGCATAGATGAGCAAACACAGTGAGGATGAATCTCTTTGCTGAAGTACATCAATTTAATTTATACTCTCCAGTCAGTTCTTGAAGCCTTATTTTTGCCAATGATTCAGTGCATCTTGGACTTCTTTATTTCAACTAGTTCTTAATCATATGCTACCTTCCTGAAATGGTTCAATTTGACCAATTTGTTTTGTACAGTATATATTCTTTGCATCTTTTTCTGATGCTTCTTGCACAGATTAATATTTTGCCCCTAGTATCTTTCAGTACGGCAACTCAAGGCATGCATTTTATCTTCGATTATTTCAGCTTCAGAAATGCTAAAAGACTCCTTCCCTTTGAGTTCCAAGTTTTGCACATTTTATTATAGTACTTTATCTTTTTTAGTTGCCCTTTAAAATCTTCTGTTCAATTCTCTTATTTCATCATGTCTTTCATACGCATTTGCTTCTCGGTGCTCATGGGTAAGTTCTAGAGCCTCTTCTGACATCTATCTTGGCCCTTTCTCTTTTCTCCTTTTTAATGACTGTTTGCTTTTTTCATGGATGATGTTACCCCACAACTTACCTGGTCTTCAGTCATTAATGTTCAGTGCTTCAAATCTATTCTTTTTAAAAAATTTTTTTATTTTATTATTTTGTGTGTGTGAGTGTACCGTCAAATCAGATCTGACTGGTACAGGAGGAGATTGTCCCTCCTTTCCTGGCAGAGCATCTGGTGTCAAATCTATTCTTGGATTATACTCAAGGTTGTGTTTTGGCTTGCATGGATTTCTTTTTCATTGAGTTTCAATTTCAACTTGCATTTGAGCAACTGATGGTTTGGTCCACAGTTGGCCTCTTGTTGTTGTTATGTGCCATCAAGTTTCCTGTGACTCATAGCAACCCTATGTACAGCAGCTTTGAACCCTGCCCTGTCCTGAGCCAGCTTCCTCACTAATTCTGACATACCAACCTCCACTGCCCTACTTACTGTATCAATCCACCTCATCCAGTGTCTTCCTCTCCTGTGCTGTCCCTTCACCTTTCGAAGCATGATGTCCTTCTCCAAAGACTGTTGTCTCCTGGCCACGTGCCCAAAGCATGTGAGATGGAGCTTCAAAATCCTAGCCTCCAAAGTGAAACTTGGTTTCACCCTTTCCATGACAAATCTATTTGTTTTCTTGGCAGTCCATGGTATGTTCAAGACTCTTCTCCAGCATCACAACTCGCAGGCATCAATTTTTCTTCTATCATCCTTAGTCATTGTCCAGCTCTCTGATGCATAGCAAATAACTATGAAGGCCATGGCCTGGATTAGGTGCACCTTAGTCTCTAGAGTCACATTGTTGCTTTTCAGTATTTTGGCGAGTTCCCTGACAGCAGGTTTTAACAGTGCAATTCATCTTTTGATTTCCTGACTACTGGTGCCAAGAGGGTCGACTGTGGAGCTGAGCAAGCTGGCTGTAATTGTTAACAATCTCAATCTCTTCGCCATGTATCATTGTGCTGCCAATTGGCCCAATGGTGAGAATATTTGTCTTCTTGATATTGAGCTTTAATCCATATTGAAGACTACAGATCTTAGTCTCATCAAATCTTCAGGCCCCACTCAAGCTGATGTCCTTTAAAGCAATCACATGATGGTATTTAGTATCATAAATCCAGAATCACATAATGCATTTAGTATCATGTCTGTTAATAGTTTTTCAATCTGGAATTGTTTCTGTTCTAACATAGTGCAACCTTGGGGAAAAAAGGTGGTGGGGAACTGAGTCTTTAAAAGTCACTGGCTCTCTGGCAAGCTCTGGTGGCCTAGTGGCAAAAAGCTGCCCTGCAATCCCAGAAGTGAGTGGTTCGAATCCACCAGATACTTTGCTGAAGGAGGGAAATCTCCTCCGGTACCAGTTAGATCCGATTGATGGTATACACAAAAAAATAATTAATTAAAAAAAAGAAAAGTCACTGGCTCTCTAGAAAGAGCCCTGGCAAGCTTGGATGCCAGACTAGAGGACACAAAAGGGCTGACTAGAGATTCTCTCAATGGTCTAGAGCAAGCGGCAACTGAGGGCACTGATCATGAAACCAATTTCTCCTTTGATTTAGCACCAGAAAACCCCTAGAAGTGAGAAATTCTGACAAGGATCATCACTGTGACTGGCTGGGACAGGAACATTTACTTCTGAAAATGGAATTTTACTCATTATTTAGAATTTTAAATCTTTTGTTTAATTTCTAATGGAATAAAACTAACTTCAGTCTCTTGATATCTGGTTCTTTTTTCTGAAAAAAAGCAAAGTAGCTTTTCTATTTAGTGGAGAGACTGACAGAAGATAAGCCAGGAGAACGGTCTGAATTGTACCCTCTCCTCTAACACACATAGGTCAAGCCAAACAATGACATAAGTGCCAGGAAGACATTTATTTCATTCATTAGGTGTTCAGATGACACACAAATAGAAATAAGAACCAATGAGGTTTTAAATTTTATTTTTAACCAATGGTTTTTTATGTTAAGTCTCATAAAGCAAAAACAAGACAATTTCATACATCTGAAATTTTGAAATCTAGAGAAATATTATAAAATAATGGTTAAAAGAAAAGTAGGGACTTTTACCCTTTATTCAGATAGGGACCATTTACCCAGTCTTTGTTCCCATGCTTCAGTGTAGGACTGTGAGCATCCTCTGTACACAAGGCACCTCAGGGACCTGAGCTTTAGGTCCTCATATCAGATGTTAGGTTTCCTTAGACAGATGCCAACTCTTTGTGTGCAAGCCTATGTCTGTGGTCAATGCATCCACACTGACTCTCTTTGGTCCACAAGAATTCCTTGCTGGAATTTGAGAAATAATTTGCTTAAGATGTAGATATCAGGCCAAAGGATAGTCATTAACACTCTTTACTGGGCTGCCATCATATAGGAACTGATTTTTAATCTGGGAGCGTAAGTTCTTGAGAGCAAAGATACCATCGTTTCAGGAATAATCATAACTTGAATGATTTCCTCTAAAGGGAAACTGAATGCTTCTGAGAGGCCACCATTTGTTGCTTCCCTGGGAGATATAGTATGTGGCCTCTTCAAGGCCTTGAACTGATAAGGCTGCTATACTGTTGGCCTGCTCCAAGGTCACAGAACGTGTTGTTTCTCCAGTAGACTTCAAGGGATCCAGAGAAGGTGAATCCACAGAATTTAAGAGTTGTTTGGTTCATTTATAAAGTAGTTTAATCCCACCTAATAAACTAATGAAGAAATAAAACATGGTAATCTACAGTTAAGTAATTTACAGATGTCCTTTCAAACAAGATTTTCAGAAAGAAAAGTAGTGGCTAAGAACTCTATCCTCAGGGCCTAGCACTGTCCCTGACTAATTGCTGGTCTTCAAGAAATTACATATTGAAAGAATCACAGAAGGGTAACTGCATCTTGCAGGTCCAGGTTCACCATGGGGCAGGCCATGCTTCCCCAGCCTGACTCTGAAGGAAAGGAGTCTTCAGGGTGCTCATGACCTGGCAGCCACAGACTCAGCACACAGGCTTCCGACTGTTCCAGGGGAAAAGCCAAAGTATTCCAATAGCTCTTATCTGGCTAGGCAACCATATTACTCTATGGTCAATGTATTCTCTGTCTGTGGAGGCTTATTAGGCAATTATTATCTCTCAGGGAAGCTTCTCAGAGACAGAAGCATCTCTCACCCCAATGCTGGCCCTGAGCCACTGGAGTTTGGAAATAAGTGGAACACTTGGTGTTTGTGACATGCTGCAAAGCGGTCACAAGTAGGGCTTATAGGCTACTTTGGTTCACAGGCTAATTCTGGTGATCTCAGCCCAGAAATGCAAGTTAGTCTGGTCAGATCTTTAGCTTCAGTCTTTAAAGGAGACCCAAGTCCACTGCTGAGATCCACTGCTCATACTTCCAGCTACCACAGCACAAATGTGTTTTTCTCATGATCTCATATACTTTACAAAGCTAACTATATGAATACTTACTGATTTTTTTTAATATTTTCTAACAAGTAGCCCATAATTTCTCCCCCAAGAAATTCTATTGTACAGGTAGAAGGAAATAAATTTGAATGTCACTTTATCTACAAATGTTCTACCAAATGAAACCATATGGGACCATGAGGCACCTCATGACAACATGAGATATCCTGCTTAGAGATGATCGTTGTATTCCTGGAATCTTAGAAAATGTTCTGTCCAGCTTATGGATTGATTCATCAACTGTGTTTACTTTGGCCTACATAGGGACTAGTATTGTTCATGCCAAAACGTTTCCATTGTTTTTTAATTTCAAACAGAAAAATTAAACATATATTTACCAAGTACAGTAAACCCACTGATCCCCATTGTGTTGGCCACGTTCTCTTGCACTTATATTTTGGACAGGTCATCCTTCAGCCAGGCAGCGGTCATTTCAGCCACTTCCTCGCTATGAGAGAGGATAAAAGCATGTGGTATCTTTTTTTCACAGAGTCGGATATCTCCTTCTGGAAAATCTCTCTTGATGTCTTCATAGTACTGTAGTGGGCACCAAGAATCTATACTACCATAGTAAAATGTAAGCTAAAAGAAAGGGGGAAAAAGTTATTAGAAAAGATTTTTTGGCTCTTGTAAAAATAGTGTAGGAGGTATGGGGCAGCCGAGTTTGACCTCCACTGACTCCACAAACAGGAAGACTCCCCATTCACAAAACCGATGCTTATGAAGTCAGGTCCCATGATCCCCGCATGTACGTTCACCAATTCTAACACCAACCATCCCTCTCAGGGCATTCAGTGCTCTGTGTCAGAGTCAGTTAATCCATTACAATGTTCACACAGAACTCATAAATCATATTCACAATTACAGGGCTCATTAGGGAAGTAAAAGGTTATAATTCAGTTTGAAAACAGGGTACAATTTCTCCACTAGGCCTCGAGCCTTTTGACCTTTAGCCTCATGGCTTCAGGCCAATGCTACAAAGCACACTTGGTCTTGTCAAGTATGGCCTCTTAACCCAGTTCTCCAGAAAACTTGGGCAAAGGCTTGGGGAAGGTGCAATTGAGGAGAAGCCGCAAAACTGAATCAGGAATAATTCCCTAGACTGTTGAGTCTTCACATTGGGGAAGATGTACATTGTAAGAAATAAACTAAGCAAAGTAAAAGGAAGTATGAAAAAGGATGGCATGCTTGGGGAATTCCAAGTAATTAAAAATGGCTGAATAGGGGATGGTGAAAGACAGGACTGGAGAGGCACAGAAAGATCAGTCCATGGACCTTTTTCTACAGTTCATAGGAGCTAACCAGAAATTATAAATAAGGAAGTGACAAGCTCACGTATGTATGTTAGGAAAACTGCTCTGGTTACAATGGGGACAGAGACTGGGAGGGTATGAGAACTAGGTGTAACAGCCTCTGCTTACTAGATTATTTCACTGTATCAATGTCTAAATCTATTATTTGAATATGAAACAGGAGAGATTTGGCTTTTAAAAATAATGGCCTTCACTGCAATAACATTATGATTCAATCAACATAAAAGAGATGCTTCATTAAGAAACATTTTAAAGAGAAAACTGTAACTTCTAATGTATTGCTGCATAGAATATAAACCTTTAATGATTAAACCTTGAGTTATAGATTTTTTCATAACTATTTTACAGATATGTGATGTGTCCAAAGTTCCAGTATAAAACACAGCAGAGAATTTGTGGTTTAAAGATTTATCACTTAACGTGTATTTCACATTTTACTGTTTTACTTCTTCCCACCACTTCTAGGTACTCTAAAGATTCTAAAACCAAGTATCATTTTGCCGTGGTAGCAAAGAAGAATGTTTGTTTCTGAAGGACAAGAGAACCCTGGGGTTCTGGTTTTCACTCCTGGCCTGTAAAATCCTCTGTGGATCTCCAATGGTCAGCCTCACAGTCAGTGAGTTGCCTTTCTGGGCAGGGGTGGGGGGAAAAAAATATATTAAAAAAAAAAAAAAAAGGTCTCCCAGACTCTCTCATAGAATCGTCTTGCTTCTTCTTGAAATGCTGTCAAGAGGATTGTAGCACTGTCTAGCTACTAAAAAGGCTAATAATCTTAGGTTTTCTCTTTACCTACTTTTATCATCAGGAATCTTTTAAGTGATTTTCAGGGAGGAGCATGCTTGCTCAGCACATTCTCAGAAATGGCTGATTAGATAATATAGATATTCAGATTTGGGTTTGTGCTCATCAAAGAAACTACAGCCTTTCCCCATTCTCTGGGGTCTCATCCTCTTGTCTGGTCTGAAGATATATGGCCAGTGAAATAGCCGACAGAATCTCTTAGACCAGTATAAGCTATAGTGAAAAGTCATTGAATAGTGTCAACTACAAGGAAGCAAGGCAGAAAAGGTCTATCTGAATATACTCTTGGTAAGTACACTACCACTGCACATACCTGCCTTTGTTTTTTTATGTGAAATCTCAAAGAATATTTCTATGAAGAACTTAGCATTCCATTTTCAATGAGGCAAATTCCAACTTGGCATGGAATCAGAGCTTTCCAATGAGAAGTCCAGCTTACTGAGCCTCAGAATGGGGAAACGCCGTCTCTTTCCTCAGGAGTGGAGGGGCTAAAACAGCTGTGAACAGGTAATGAACATGGATGACAGACCTCTGATGGCCTAGGGGTAAGAGACTGTGCTGCAATCCCAAAGGTCCCTAGTTCAAATCCACCAGCTGTTCTGCAGGAGAAGGCTGGGCAATCTCCTTTCATGTAATGAATTGCCTCTGAAAACTTGCTGTAGGATCAACTACGGGTTGGTTCTGACTTGATGGTACACAACAACAACATACTCTGTTTGGGTTATCAAGACAAGTCATATTCAACTAAGATGCAGTTCCAAGTAGTTATGGGAATGCACAAAGAACCTTAAACACTCACCAATCATCTAACAACAGACTCATTTGTAATATTTGAAATAGCATTGACAAGAAGAGTCTAGGCTGTTAATATCTTTTTGTTTCTTTAATCCTCATCATCAGCAATCATTTAGCGTAGGCAGCCATTTTGTTAAGTTCCTAATTGATCATTGGGACAAGTTTTTGCTTTTTCTGCTTTTAAAGGTTTTTTTTTTGGGCTATATTCACTGAAGGGCTCTCTATAAAAATCTTGGCTTACAAGTAAAACACGTGGTCATTCTAATGCCTGTACGCACACACGGAGACCTGAGGTACTTCCTGTTCCCTACAGATTATAAGTCACAGGCAATAGATCTGACCAGAGGACTCTGCACCTGTAACCCTAAACAGGAAACTGAAAAAGTATGGGGTGTGTGAATGTAGTTCTAGGGGGCTGGGGGAGGACAGGTGAAGAGGAAAGAAAAAGAAAGAACTGCAAATGTGGAGAGGCACCAAAACACAGTGGGCAGAGTGTAAACTTTTATTAAGTGGATATGCAAAAGTGAGTGACTAGCAATATTACAGAACCATGAAAACTGGGAACAGTGTGTCAGGTTCTGTGCTAAGCACTTCCCACATATTATCTTATTCAGTCCGTCCAACAATCCTCTGAGGAACGTTATTCTATCCTTACTTTACAGAAGAGGAAACTGAGGTTTAGTGAGATTAAGAAACTTGCTTCAATTCAAGCAATTAGTGAACTGTAAAGCTAGGTTATAAATCCAGAGACAACATTCTTAACCACTACCTTTTACAATGAACAGAGAACTGACCATATTATTAAAACATGAAATCTGAAGCCTAGGAGGTCCTAAGCTGGATAGAAAACTAAGTTTAATAATCAACGACAGGAATAAACCCAACCTTCCCACAGTGTATGCCGTCATTCTGGGGCTCTGCATGCCTCTATTTTTGTTTTGTGGTATATCAAGAGGTGAGAACTGCTCTGAAAATACCCCACTCCTTCACTAGGAATCTCAGGCTGTTAGCTAGTCTTTTGCTGTCAAAAGTTTAGGAAAACAGTACATTCTTCCTGTTGTTTATGTCTTTTTGGCATTTGCTTTGATGTGCATGAGCACTGATTAAGGAGTGCTGGTGGTGCAGTGGTTAAGTACTTGGCTACTAACCAGACACGGGGTTCAAAGCGCTTGGCTTGGAACCTCCAAGCTTCTCTGCAGAAAAAAAAGGTGAGGCAGTCTGCTTATTACAGCCTTGAAAACGCTATGTATGGTCAGAATTCACTCAGTAACAGCAGAGAGGTTTTTGTTTGATTTTTAAAAATAGAGGACAGGGAGCTCTGGTAAGGAGTTAAGCTGTCAACTCAAAGGCAGGAAGTTCGAATCCACCAGTTGCTCCACAGGAGGAAGATGGGTAATTTCCTCTTATGCAATTTATAGCCTCTGAAAATCCACTGCAGGGTCAACTTGAGTTGGTTTTGACTTGCCAGTACATAACAACAACAACAACAACAACAACAATATACTGCAAGAAGAGAGAAATGTTAGAAACAGATGTTTATATACTTAACCAACTAATAACCAACAAAGTTCTTTTTGGGATAAAGTAAAATGTTCAAAACATTAAAAGCCACAAACAAAAAATCTTAGAATTACTTTTGCAGTCAGTAGTGCAGTGGGTCAGTAGGCACCAAATTTTTCCCTACTTTTAGGGAGTACCTATATTTTGTTCTTTTGTTAACGTATGGATAACCACATTTTACAAGCTACTCAGAAACCTGTATTTCACTATATGGCCATGTTAAGTATAAATATTAAGTAGTAAGTCCTTTTAGGACTTAATCAAATTGAAAGACCACTGCCCAGGTGGCTTTTGGGCAGTGTTTCCCGATACAGTGCAGACCCGAGCGCGGTGGTAAATGGCACCTCTGGGGGTATCCTACTTCCAATGATAGAATATCTCATACAGGCTTTATATTTCAATAAGATAATTTGTGAGACCGCTCAAGCTTAATATTCAGTACAGAGGGAGAACATTTAAGAGCTTGTGTCCTGAGCCACATGTTAGACTGGAACTTTGGTGCTTCGATTCACTAACTTTGTGACCTTGGACACATTCTCTCTGGTTTGCTGCTCATCTGTAAAGTAGAAATCAAACTACCTCAAACTCATCGCTATTGAGTTAGAACTCACTCACAGCTGACCCTCTGGTGAGTTTTCGAGGCTTTAAACAACAAAGATGAAGATTACTGATCTTTCTTCCTCCCTCAGAGCTGCTGGGGGTTTTGAACTGCCAGAGATTCACCATTTTTGAGTTAGTAGTGCAACTCCCTACAGACTGCACCATCAGTTGTTATTGTGTACTGTGGGGGTGAGTTGGAACCGGCCCATAGCTGACCCTCCAGCGGATTTTCAGAGGCAGTTAACTGCACGGAAGGAGACTGTCCATCTCTCTCCTGCAGAGCAGCTGGTCCATCCCAGCTGCATTCGTTAGGATTGCCAGTGCAACTCCTTACCACTAGGTCACCAGAGCTCTCCATAAAAATATTTTGTACTAATTACTTTCTATTTCTCTCTTCCCTCCCAAGTCAAAGGTACTTAATATATATTTTGCAACTCTATAGGGTACCTATTCTAGAAGCATCTTCTTTCAGTTATTTAAAAATCCAATCCCTCTTGGGAACACAAAAAGCCA